TTAAAAAATTGTGCATGGTCATAGAAATAGAATCACTAGAATGCCATCCATCATGGCATTATTGACTTGAATGGGGATTCCTATTCTATGGTTAGGGTTAGTGTTCGACTTTTGCTACATAACTACAGCAGAAGTGGCTAAAAACAATGGTTGCTCAAACAGAGCCTTCCAGATTGACTGAAATTGCATTTTTGTAATTTGCCCTTTGGTGGGGGACAACCTACTGTTCCCCCTTACCTTCAGCCCATTTAGACGAATGTTCCTTTATGACTGCTTAATGACAGGTAAGATGGTCATGCAGATCATCATTCTGTTAACTGCTCCATGGGGCTCAATTATATAGGTAATTAACTGGTGTCATCACAACAAGCAGAAATCCTACACATAACCTGGATGGCAGTAATCGAGCAGATGCAGGAACAGACTTGCATGATAAGCTCTTATTAAATGAACATAAGGTTGCAAAGTGCTATCAGTATGGTGGGCAACCATGTAGCACAGCTCCTAAAGTGTTTGTTTGTGATTAGGTTTATACCCATAGTTTGCTAGGCATTATTCTGATGCCATTGTTTATGTCCGTTTATTATTTTGATCATAAATAGTAGGTTGAAATTCTTGTTTGGTTGTTTTAGTAGTAGTAGTAGTAGTAGTAGTAGTAGTAGTAGTAGTAGTAGTAGTACAGTATTGGTCTTCACAAAGTTTGCTGCTTCAGTGTTTTTAGATATTTTTGTCAGATGTTACTATGGTATACTGAAGCATAATTACAAGCATTCCATAAGTGTCACAGGCTTTTATTGACAATGACATTATGTTTATGCAAAGAGTCAATATTTGCAGTGTTGACCCTTCTTTTTCAAGACCTCTAGAATCCGCCCTGGCATGCTGTCAATTAACTTCTGGGCCACATCCTGACTGATGGCAGCCCATTCTTGCATAATCAATGCTTGGAGTTTGTCAGAATTTGTGGGTTTTTGTTTGTCCACCCGCCTCTTGAGGATTGACCACAAGTTCTCAATGGGATTAAGGTCTGGGGAGTTTCCTGGCCATGGACCCAAAATTTCGATGTTTTGTTCCCCGAGCCACTTAGTTATCACTTTTGCCTTATGGCAAGGTGCTCCATCATGCTGGAAAAGGCATTGTTCGTCACCAAACTGTTCTTGGATGGTTTGGAGAAGTTGCTCTCTGAGGATGTGTTGGTACCATTCTTTATTCATGGCTGTGTTCTTAGACAAAATTGTGAGTGAGCCCACTCCCTTGGCTGAGAAGCAACCCCACACATGAATGGTCTCAGGATGCTTTACTGTTGGCATGACACAGGACTGATGGTAGCGTTCACCTTGTCTTCTCCGGACAAGCTTTTTTCCGGGTTGCCCCAAACAATCGGAAAGGGGATTCATCAGAGAAAATGACTTTACCCCAGTCTTCAGCAGTCCAATCCCTGTACCTTTTGCAGAATATCAGTCTGTCCCTGATGTTTTTCCTAGAGAGAAGTTGCTTCCTCGCTGCCCTTCTTGACACCAGGCCATCCTCCAAAAGTCTTTGCCTCACTGTGCGTGCAGATGCACTCACACCTGCCTGCTGCCATTCCTGAGCAAGTTCTGCACTGGTGGTGCCCCAATCCCGCAGCTGAATCAACTTTAGGAGACGGTCCTGGCGCTTACTGGACTTTCTTGGGTGCCCTGAAGCCTTCTTCACAACAATTGAACCTCTCTCCTTGAAGTTGTTGATGATTCGATAAATGGATGATTTAGGTACAATCTTACAAGCAGCAATATCCTTGCCCGTGAAGCCCTTTTTGTGCAAAGCAATGATGACGGCACGTGTTTCCTTGCAGGTAACCATGGTTAACAGAGGAAGAACAATGATTTCAAGCACCACCCTGCTTTTAAAGCTTCCAGTCTGTTATTCTAACTCAATCAGTATGACAGAGTGATCTCCAGCCTTGTCCTCGTCAACACTCTCACCTGTGTTAACAAGAGAATCACTGACATGATGTCAGCTGGTCCTTTTGTGGCAGGGCTGAAATGCAGTGGAAATGTTTTTTTAGGATTAAGTTCATTTTCATGGCAAAGAGGGACTTTGCAATTCATTTCAATTAATCTGATCACTCTTCATAACATTCTGGAGTATATGCAAATTGCCATCATAGAAACTGAGGCAGCAGACTTTGTGAAAATTAATATTTGTGTAATTCTCAAAACTTTTGACCACGACTGTAGTAGTAGTAGTAGTAGTACTAGTAGTAGTAGTAATAGTATAGTAGCAGTACATAGTTGCATTGTCAGCTGTTGTGGTGGTTGGTTGAACCAGTTATTGTAGTATCATATCAATCATGATGATCCTCTTCATTATTTGTTAATGCCAGTATAATTCTAAGCTAGACCTTATTGTTTATAGCACTGGCAAATTAGCAGGTTGAAATTGCATGAAGGAAGAATAAATTACCCATTGACCCATTGAGTCATACTGGGTGGGCTCTAAATTCCTTGGGGTTGAAGTGTTAAATTACCTGAATTAGTCTAATTTAGAACTAGTGTAATTTAGGCATAGAGTCAATCAGATCAAACGTTAACGGTCGATAGCCGACACCTCCATAGCTGATGTTTTGGCGGTGTCAGAGGTGTAACTGCGTTGGAGCTGTCAAATCGGTGAGCAGCTGCTCTTGTAATCATTGTCACGAAGGCACTCCTGTCCCACTTGCGTTACAAGTTCAGAACAAGAAAGTGTAGGCTATATAGAAATAATGAAGCTCAAATTTAAATCATTCAACTAAATAATGAGGATTTCTATCAGCCTAATCGATGTGTAGAATACATCTCACGTTCCAGTGTTCGAAATTGTAAACAAGGTTGCATGGGATTTATCTTAATGCGACTCCGTGCAGCCAATGGTAATGTCCACTTTAGGCATAATGGCGGGAGCTGCTTGTGGATTTGACAGCTCTAACACAGTTCCACCTCTGACATGCGGATGTCGGCTAAAGCGGATCTGATTGAATTGAGCCCTTAGTCTCAATCATTCAGTGCATGATGGATAAAGCCACAGGAGGGATGAGGGAGGAGTTGTGTAGGGCCAGGAGTTTTTCCTTACCTTGTGACCTGGTGAGAGAAACTCCCAAGTCCCATTTGTGTACATTCACTTTAAAGACTTCCCCCTACTGTAACCCCCACCCCCAACCAAGAACATTGATCTCACTCATGTAAGTTCTGTAAATGACATCATAGCTCCTGAAGATGCCTTTGGTCAGCTGTAGTAAGATAACATTTCCCTTCAAATGTTACATTTTTGATCGCTTGCCCATACTCAACAGATTGTATGCTATCCCATTCTGTTGCTTTTGTAATCATTTGTAATCTCAGTTGGCAAGAGGCATATGGAAACTGCCTGTGTGATTTCTGTAGAAATTCAGTTCTCACAGAGCACTCAGATAATTGCTTTGCTTTGCTGAGGTAGAGAGAACTATAAATGGAGAATGAATGGAAACCCTGTGTAATCACTGTGCTTTCATAAGCCACTCATTGTATGTTCTCGATGTTCAGTTCGTGTTGTGCGGTACAAGGTGTTTTTGTGCTTGGGTAACAGTTTCAAGTTTCAAGTTATATTAGTTGTATGTACAGGATACACATGGTATACACCATCCAATGAAATGCTTCTTTGCAGGTTCCCTCTCGACAAAGTTTGACAAAGACAACAACAATAATAAATAATAAAAGATAAGAATAAAAACATAAAGTAACTCAGTTGGTCATCAACAAATGCTAAGGGTAAAGCTTTTATATAGAGACTTCCATTCTGTAATGTTAGCCATTACAAATAGAATTGGGGTCCAATCACTCTTACGACCATAGTGTATAATATAGAACAATTTATTCCTATTGTATCCTTTATGTTGTTTAGTTTGCCTAATTAAATTGGGGTTCAAGTTATTAAGTCACTGAATGGAAGCATTTTCTGATCCTGTGTGGCCCTGTCTGGAAAGAGAATTATAGTTTAAAAGTCATCAGCACTCAGAAAGGATGAGGATTACTCAGGAAGGGCGAGGATTACTCAGGAAGGATGAGGATCACTCAGGAAGGATGAGGATCACTCAGGAAGGATGAGGATTACTCAGGACGGATGAGGATTACTCAGAAAGGATGAGGATTACCCAGGAAGGGCGAGGATTACTCAGGAAGGATGAGGATCACTCAGGAAGGATGAGGATCACTCAGGAAGGATAAGGATTACTCAGGAAGGATGAGGATCACTCAGGAAGGATGAGGATCACTCAGGAAGGATGAGGATTACTCAGGAAGGATGAGGATCACTCAGGAAGGATGAGGATTACTCAGGACGGATGAGGATTACTCAGGAAGGATGATGATCACTCAGGAAGGATGAGGATTACTCAGGAAGGGCGAGGATTACTCAGGAAGGATGAGGATCACTCAGGAAGGATGAGGATCACTCAGGAAGGATAAGGATTACTCAGGAAGGATGAGGATCACTCAGGAAGGATGAGGATCACTCAGGAAGGATGAGGATTACTCAGGAAGGATGAGGATCACTCAGGAAGGATGAGGATCACTCAGGAAGGATAAGGATTACTCAGGAAGGATGAGGATCACTCAGGAAGGATGAGGATCACTCAGGAAGGATGAGGATTACTCAGGAAGGATGAGGATCTCAGGAAGGATAGGATACTCAGGAAGGATGAGGATACTGAGGAAGGATGAGGATACTCAGGAAGGATGATGACTACTCGGGAAGGATGAGGATTACTCAGGAAGGATGAGGATCACTCAGGAAGGATGAGGATCACTCAGGAAGGATAAGGATTACTCAGGAAGGATGAGGATTACTGAGGAAGGATGAGGATTACTCAGGAAGGATGATGACTACTCGGGAAGGATGAGGATTACTCAGGAAGGATGTCATGGGATGAATATCAGGAGGGTTGTCTTGGATGAGGTTACTCGAGGAAGGATGAGATAACTAGAAAGGCTGAGATCCTCAGGAAGATGAGGATTACCAGAAGATGGGATTCTGGGGAAATACAGGAGGTATGACTACTCGGAGATGAGATACTCAGGAGTGATGATCACTCAGGAGGATGAGGATACTCAGGAAGGATAGGATTATCAAGAAGATGAGATCTGGAAAGATGAGATACCAGGAAGATGATGACATGGAGGATGAGGATTACTCGAAGGATGCATTTGGAGAATAGGTGCTCTTGGATGGCTTGAGTCTAAGTAGTGCTCTGTTGCTGCAAAGTCTTAAACATCACTCCGTTAAGTCAAGCATCTCTGCCAGAAACGCGAAGCAGAGAGAGATGTCGAGCGAGGCAAGCCTGAAGTAGCATCAGAGAATAAGTCGGAGCTAGCGATCCAGAACCGTAGCATCAATCGCGGACCGCTAAGAGGAGAGAGCGACGCGATCCAGCAAGCGAGAGACACGAAAAGCAGACACGCGCTGAGAGGAGTAAAGAAGAAAAGAAAAGAAAAGCAAAGAGACACAAGATAAGAGCAAGAGAAGCAGAGAGACAGCAGCATACGACAGTAGATGATGAATCAAGACAGACGAGAGAGAGCAGAGACTCAAAAAGAATAGAGCCGACCACCCACAAATACCATAGCTACCGCGCTACGCCGCCACTTCGCGAGAGTATCGATCCGCACGCAGAATCGCTCATCCTCTCGTCTCCATCTCCCCATTCCTCTCTTCTCTCTATCTCGTCTCTCTCTACTCCCCTCCCTCTCTTTCTATCTCTCTCTCCCCTCTCTCTCTTTCTTTCTTTCTCTCCCTCCCTCCCTCCTCTCTCTCTCCCTCCAGCTTCCCATTCTGGCCTCCTCTGTGGTCAGCCTCTATTTTCTGGAGCTGACAGATGTGTTCAAACCTGTGCAGTCGGGTTACAGCTGCAATGACCGCAGTCTGAGCATGCCCTACATCGAGCCGGCGCAGGAGGCCATCCCCTTCCTCATTCTCTTCAGTCTGGCCTTCGCTGGACCTGCAGCCACGGTCAGTGTAACCACAAACCTCATTCCCTAGCTCCCTATTGGCTGCCTGAAGCATGTAGCATCCAATCCTGGTTCCAGATCTGTTTGTGCTGTCTTGACAACTCCTAGTGCCATGCCAAATAATGGCCATAGGAGTTGGAAGGACTCCTGTCAGATCTGGGACCATGCTAGTAGCATCAGTGTGCTCTTCAATTTACTCTCATTCCGGTGTTAGGTAAACTCACAGTCAAGGGCCCCCAATTGCACTACCAAGGGATCACGTCTAAGGGTTTAGGGCCTGTGTGCTGGCAAACTCACTGTGAGTGTGGATAGTCCCCCTCTAAGGATTCTATATTTAGTGTACCAGCAAAATTCACTCTTCATGTTTCAATTCTAAGGGTTACTCACGGCCAGCATGCCCTTAAACTCAGTGTGTTCATTCCAAAGGGTTCATCCACATATCAGTGCTCACTTCTTATGGTGTATTCATGCTGAATGAGAGTTTACTCTTAAGGGTTCAGGGAGAATCCAAAGGGCTTACTTACAATGTCTGTTTTTTTTCTCCAAAAAATTATTACTTTTAATAACTTAGCATGCTCATTTACCTGGATTTATCAGAAGGGTTTTCTCCCAATGGTATGGTCAGATGTGTTTACTCATGCAGATTAATTCACTCATAGGCTATAGGATCACTTCTGAGTTTTTTTTCCTGTAGAGTGGTTCCACATTTAGGGTCTAGTTAAGAACAGGTTTTCATTATTTCATATCTAATATCTCACTCTTCCAGAAGTGTTCTGCTCTTAGGTGTAAGGGTCAAGTGTCATCATTTTGCTAAAGGTCATGGTTTTGTAATAGTCTCTTCCATAAAGATAACATCTCTATGTTGTTCTGTCTATGGTGTTTTCTGTGTTCTAGACACTAGTGATGTGAGAAAACAGATGACCTGAAGATATCTGGGAGACAGTTTCCCATGGACTTTTATGAAAAGTGTTGGCCTAAAACATAATGTCCTGGTTTTGCTGGTTGATGATCATCCTAATTCTCCATTAATTTGACTTGTTATTTTCATACAATTCTTAGCATCACCCTGCTGCTGCTCTCTCTCTACGCTCCTCAGCAAAAATTCCTCTGACAGCGTCTCGCTTGGCGACACATTCTCTTTCTCTCCTTCAACTGTTATCACCTAGGCAACCTGCGGGGTGGTGCTTCTTGCAGTGTCATGCCTTGTCTCTCAGGCCTGTCCAGTTTGGCTGGCCTTGTCTCTCAGGCCCGTACAGTTTGGCTGGCCCTGTCTCTCAGGCCTTTAAGGTTTGGCTGGCCTTGTCTCTCAGGCCCGTACAGTTTGGCTGGCCTTGTCTCTCAGGCCCGTACAGTTTGGCTGGCACTGTCAGCTTTGATTGGACTGCCGCCCACCGTCAGAACATCAACACAGGCAGACAGATAGAAAGACAGATTTGATGACTTAAAAACAGCTTCCCAGTGAAGGGTTTTCTTGTTTGCTTTTATGCTTGAATGACTTGGTCTCGATGTGTGGTCGAAACACACAGATTAGTCTACATTTACATTTTAGTCATTTAGCAGACGCTTTTATCCAGAGCGACTTACAGGAGCAATTAGGGTTAAGTGCCTTGCTCAAGGGCACATCGACAGATTTTTCACCTAGTCAGCTCGGGGATTAGAACCAGCAACCTTTCGGTTACTGGCACAACACTCTTAACCACTAAGCTACCTGCCAACCCACTTGGTTTCTCTATGTTGCTTTCTTTTACTTTAGCTATGGTGACGTTATTACACTAGGACACTAGCTTTGCAGGCAAATTGGATACGGTTCAGATATTTAGCTGCGACTTGTACTCTAATTCCTTTTGTTGAAAATAAATAGGTCACTATTTCATACATCTTTAGTATTACACACAAAAACTACAGACAACCATATAATACAAAACCATACTAAAAGCCTTTCAGTATAATGGCTTATGAGTTTGCCTCTAGCAACATGTTCTATGATGGTTAATGCAACTCCTATTGCTCTCCTTGAGTCATTAACTTCATATTGGGTCCCTTGTTTGAGATATACAGTATCATCTATAACATCAATACACTGCAGCAGGAGATATGATTGCCTTGACTATATATCCTGCCTGTTTAATTTGTTCCCACTCACTGATCCTCTAATTATTAAAGGAAATGCAGGCAATGAACTATTAAATGTAATGTGCCTCCTACTGTGCCGAACGCACACGTTACACTATACAGTATAGGTACAGTAGTAATTGCTCCTAGAATAAAACAACAACAACATAGACTGTTAAAGAACAGCAACACAATTTGACAATTAATACTAATTGTTCAGAGAACGCCTGCCTATGTATCTAGTGAAATCTCCCCTGCTGGTTAGATGATTCAACCCAGAAGTTTAGTGTTTCCACACAGGTCAGTTGTTTCTCCCCCACAGGTGAGATAGCTGTCATGGGGAGTCCAGTTAGTGTAGCTGTTCCACAGGCAGACAGTTAGTGTAGCTGCCCCACAGGCAGACAGTTAGTGTAGCTGTACCACAGGCAGACAGTTAGTGTAGCTGCCCCACAGGCAGACAGTTAGTGTAGCTGTACCACAGGCAGACAGTTAGTGTAGCTGCCCCACAGGCAGACAGTTAGTGTAGCTGCCCCACAGGCAGACAGTTAGTGTAGCTGTACCACAGGCAGACAGTTAGTGTAGCTGCCCCACAGGCAGACAGTTAGTGTAGCTGCCCCACAGGCAGACAGTTAGTGTAGCTGCCCCACAGGCAGACAGTTAGTGTAGCTGTACCACAGGCAGACAGTTAGTGTAGCTGCCCCACAGGCAGACAGTTAGTGTAGCTGCCCCACAGGCAGACAGTTAGTGTAGCTGCCCCACAGGCAGACAGTTAGTGTAGCTGCCCCACAGGCAGACAGTTAGTGTAGCTGCCCCATTGTCAGGCTGTCAGTGTAGCTGCCTCATTGTCAGGCTGTCAGTGTAGCTGCCTCAGAGGCACGTAGTTGTTTTAGCTGATTCACAAGCAGAAGGCTCAGGTTGTGGAGCAGCCCTGCATTGACTTTAGCGATCTCTCCTTCCCTAACAGCTGCTGCTATCGACAGGCAACTCATAACTGAGATTATGAATAATTTATCTGTCAGTTGGTGTCATTGCCATTTCAATTCCAGTCAATTCAGGAATGGAATTGCACTCCTATTAATAAATTAATTATTTGGTCTAATTATTCAACATACAGGAATTAAACCCTCACTCTGCCTGTCCTTTCTGTCGAATTTCTCCCTAGATAATGATAGGAGAGGGTATCCTGTATTGCTGTCTGTCCAGGAAAAAGAGTGGGGTCAAAACAGAGGCCAATATCAACGCAGCTGGCTGCAATTTCAACTCGTATATACGGCGAGCTGTTCGGTTTGTTGGTAAGTTTTGGTATTTTCTCAATTATGACATTTTGAAAAACACATGGTGTATCTTACCTCTCAAAACGCACACACTCTGTGGGACCTGGCTGTGTAGTGAACACCCACATTTTCTGTATAGTGTTTTGTGTTGTCTTTTGGTGATTAGCTGATTAATATCTCCCTTGCTCTCCCTCTTTCTGTCCCCACCTCTGCGGATTCTCTCTCCCTCTCCCCTCTCTCTCCCCTCTCTCTCTACCAGGGGTCCATGTATTTGGCTTATGCATCACGGCTCTCATCACTGACATCATCCAGCTGTCGACGGGTTACCACGCCCCCTACTTCCTGACAGTGTGTAAACCCAACTACACCACGCTTAACATGACCTGTGACGACAGCTCCTTCATCATAGAGGACATCTGTTCTGATGGAGCAGACCCAGCCATCATCAACGCTGGCAGGTCAGAGTGCTGATCTAGGATCATTTTTGACAGGGGGAGATCTGCATTCCTACTCTGAGACGGTTTATGGATACAGGCCCAGTAAACAAGACTGTTCTGAAAATGTGTTTTAAAAATGCATAGAGATTTGAATGATGCATGCCCCATCACCCTCAGGAGTAACTAGATGGTTGGTAGAACATGTGGTTGACCATGGCAGTAAAACTTATGAATGATCTCCACTGTGTCTGTGGAAACAGGTGTAGGGTGAAGTTGCACCTAGACCAGGGGGGGTTATTTTGGGATAAATAAAAATACTCCAGACCTCTTGAATGTCTAAAACTAGATAGAAAGTATGTTGAAATTATAATGGACCTATATAATTTCAAATAACTGCCCTTTTGCTGGCACGCAAATCGCTTTTGACAAACAAATCAGCCTGAATAAAAATCTGTGCGGCCCTCCGCTGAATTTTGAAATCCTGATGTGGCCCCTTGAGGCAAACATTTTTGCCCACCCCTGTCCTAGACACTGATCATGGGTCAGTTTTGCTTTTTCCACACTAATGGTTACGATTAGGACTAGTGGAGGGGAAGCTGATCCTAGATTTTAACGTAGGGGAAACTTCACCTTGGAGCTTGGAAACACAGGCTCTGAAACGGTGCTTTTCAAGTGGCCTGCAAGGTCATCTCTAGTGGGTTACCACAGAGGGTCATTAGCATACCTCTGTAATGTAGTAAAGTTTGAAACAGTATACAGTGCCTTCAGAAAGTATTCATACCCCTTGACTTACTCCACATTTTGTTGTGTTACAGCCTGAATTCAAAATGTGTTCAATTGATTTTTTTGTCATACCCATCAACACACAATATCCCATAATGACAAAGTGAAAACATGTTTTTAGAAATTGTTGCTAATTTATTGAAAATGAAATGCAGAAATATCTAATTTACATAAGTATTCACACCCCTGAGTCAATACATGTTAGAATCACCTTTGGCAGCAATTAAAGCTGTGTTGACATACATTAGAATGCTATCCCACTGGGAACAGACGTCAGTTCAACAACTAGTTTTGATTTACATTTGGTTGAGTTGTCAACTAACGTGAATTCAACGTTAAATGTAAAAAAAAAAATCCCATGATTGATGACTTTTTAAAAATCCAATCAGTTCTCCACGTTGATTTAACGTCATCACATTGATATATATATTTTTTGCCACATAAAAAATACTATAGTAGTATACAGAAACTGTAGTATACTGTAGGATACTTTACTACACACTGTAGTATCCCTCGATCATGTGTTTTACTTAGTATAGAATTTTGTATTATACTGTAAAATACTATACTAAACAGTACAGTATTATCCACAAAATAAAATATCTGCAAAAACACTACAGTCCGCAAAAACACTAAAATAATTTAACTATAGTAAATACTACAGTATTTAACCCTACCCATTCCCCTCCCCCATATCCCAATTTGTGCTACCTGTAAATGAGAAACCTACATGCCAAGGATAGACGATATATTGTGTTCCCTACAGGTTATAGAAAAGAGCAGAAGCTATGAACTATCCGATCAGACCTACTGCTTATGAAAAATATTCTCTTTTACTATATCTCCAGTAGGTTTCCTCAAGGAGATAATACAACAAAAACACTTTAGTAAATACTACAGTAATGTCCCCAAAAACACTAGAGTAAATACCACAGTATACTGTATTACAGTCCGCAAAAACACTATAATAAATACTACAGTATACTACAGTCCGCAAAAACACAACAGTAATTTCTATAGTATATACTACATTTTTTTTTCAGTACAGTATTTATACTATAGTAAACTGTAAATACAACAGTAAACCACAGTAAATACTACAGTATTTACTGTAATGTTTTTGCAGACTTTAGTCCTAAAAAAAACTATAGGGAATACTACAGTATGTGGGATGACGTGGAAACAACGTTGATTCAACCAGTTTTTGCCCAGTGGGGTATTACAAAATGCTCATTAGCAATGTTAATAATAGCGCTAGCTTGCGGAAAAACACCCAGAGACATTTGTTTGTTAAAGGCACTTAATGTCTCCACCAAGTCACTGGTTTACCCATAATGAATACTGTGTCTGACTCACTGTACAATGTAGCAGTCCTAGCTATGGTCTGCTGGTACCGCAGTGAGAAGAAAGCGAGGAAAACTGAAGATGGCGTTTCTACAACCCACTCAGTTCATCCCCGGTGCACTTACAAAACAGGGAATGTTGTGGCAGACCTGCCTGCACCCACACATAGCCCAGGCAGCCGAGCGTTTCACAGCTATCATTTTCAGCTCTTACCCCGGCTGTCAGTTCCTGTTTACTCATCAATATGCGGAATGTGTGCTGTGTGTTTTCTGTTCTGTCCAGCCTCTCAGGAAGGGAAGTTGGCCTGTGAACATTTGCCCTACCTACGGTATCGATATTAGAAAGTCCCTCAGTTGTCAGACAAAACTCGCTTTTAAGTCCCTTAAGGGTGCTGTTTTTGCATTGTACAAATTATGTAGGGTATGGAATACTCTAGTAGACAAGTGGGTCTGGACCATATACAAATGGTGGCTACAGCACAGTCAGCTTGGCCAACATTTTATTAAAGTAAATAAAGGGCTATTTGTTGACTTTATTCCTTGCTGGCAAGTTAGCTCAGGCTTGGGATATGACAAAAGCCTGCTATGCTTATGTGCTCATAATATGGTCAGTGATTTGAGGGGCAAATAAAACCAACTCACTGCTGTGGCAATGCGATCATAGGTTGTACCCTTTACGGTGGATTTCCTTTTAGAATCTGTCTCACTATCTCTCAAGCAGAAGATTGAAATGACTGTCTCCCTCCCCTGTCGTTCTAGAAAGTCCTTTCCCTCGCAGCATGCCACTCTGGCCGCCTTCGCTGCTGTCTATATCTCTGTAAGTAATCCAGCTACAAACACACACACACACACACACACATACTGTAGGCGTACACACGCATGTACGTGCATACAGACACACACACAGATGCATATGCATGCACACACACACATGTACACACACGCCCATGCACACACACACACAGAAACACACACACAGAAGCACACACACACACACACAGAAACACACACACACACACAGAAACACATACACACACAGAAAAACACACACACACGCACACATATCTCTCTACTCTCTCTACTGCCTCACAGCAATCTGATATTACTGGTTCTCATCCAAGTGTACTGGATGCTGCTCTACGATGTGTTACTCTACAAATGTTTTCCACCTTCATTTGAGATTATTACTGTATTTCCTGCAGTCAAATGACAAAATCACCTTCTAGAGGCCTCATGGGTGGAATGTTATTAATATTTTTTATTTTTTATTCCGCAAGCTATAATTTTTTTTAAAAAAGAATGCAGAAAATCTGGTGTTTATGTCAAACGGTTTTGTTATATTTCAGTCTCCTGTGATGTGCACTACATGACCAAAAGTATGTGGACACCTGCTTGTCGAACCTCTCATTACAAAATCATGGGCATTAAGATGGAGTTGGTCCCCCCTTTGCTGCCATAACAACCTACACTCTTCTGGGAAGGCTTTCCACTAGATGTTGGAACATTGCTGCGGGGACTTGCTTCCATTCAGCCACAAGAGCATTAGTGAGGTTGGGCACTTATGTTGGGCAATTAGGCCTGGCTCGCAGTCTGTGTTCCAATTCATACTCCCGAGTGGCGCAGTGGTCTAAGGCACTGCATCGCAGTGCTAGCTGTGCCACTAGAGATCCTGGTTCGAGTCCAGGCTCTGTCGCAGCCAGCCGCGACCGGGAGACCAATGGGCGACACACAATTGGTCCAGTGTCGTCCAAGGTAGGGGAGGGTTTGGCCGGCAGGGATGTGGGTTAGTTTCCCACGGGGGGCGGTATGAAAAAATAAATAATTATGCATTCACTAACTGTAAGTCGCTCTGGATAAGAGCGTCTGCTAAATGACTAAAAAAAATAAAATGTAAAAAAAATCCCAAAGGTGTTCGATGGGGTTGAGGTCAGGGTTAGTGAATGTATGCATTCACTAACTGTATGTCGCTCTGGATAAGAGTGTCTGCTAAATGACTCAATGACTAAAAAAAATAACTTTAAAAAATAAAATGTAAAAAAAATCCCAAAGGTGTTCGATGGGGTTGAGGTCAGGACTCTGTGCAGGCCAGTCAAGTTCTTCCACACTGATCTCAACAAACCATTTCTGTATGGACCTCTCTTTGCACACGGGGGCATTGTCATGCTGAAACAGCAAAGGGCCTTCCCCAAACTGTTGCCACAAGGTTGGAAGCACAGAATTGTCTCGAATGTAATTGTATGCTGTAGCGTTAAGATTTCCCTTCACTTGAACTAAGGGGCCTATTTTTTTTATATTTTTTATTTTTTATTTAACCTTTATTTAACCAGGTAAGCCAGTTGAGAACAAGTTCTCATTTACAACTGCGACCTGGCCAAGATACTGGCCTAGCCCGATCAATGAAAAACAGCCCCAGACCTTATTCCTCCTCCACCAAACTTTACAGTTGGCACAATGCATTGGGGCAGGTAGCGTTCTCCGGCAGAGCCGATGTTGCTCCTAGACGTTTTTTACTTCACAGTAACAACACTTAGAGTTGACAGGGGCAGCTCTAGCAGGGCAGACATTTTACCAACTGACTTGTTGGAAAGGTGGCATCCTATGACAGTGCTACATTGAAAGTCACTGAGCTCTTCAGTGAGGCCATTCTACTGCCAATGTTTGTCTATGGAGATTGCATGGCTGTGTGCTCGCTTTTATACACCATTCAGCAACGGGTGTGGCTGAAATAGCCAAATACACTCATTTGAAGGGGTGTCCACATACTTTTGTATATATTGTGTATATAATGTGTAATATTGGGATGCAAACGCTATATCTGACGCGGTACAGATGTTTTCTTTTTTCTAAGCCCATAACCATGTGTGTGAGGTTTATACTTATTTTTCAAAGTAGATTGGTTTAAGACTACCAAGAAACACTCCGTGTGACGCTGATTTAGCCCACTGCAGTAAAAGGTTTTAATGTTCTCCAAAACATGAATCATCCTTGTAATGATTGAATTGGACTGCAGTCGTAATGCAAATCAAGTTTCGAACAAGGGGCTACCTCCATTTGAAGTTAAAAGTCCTTTGTTTATAGTATATTGATTCCAGGCCTCTCTACAAACAAGAACAATTTGTTCAGAGTAGAATCCTTAATTAAACTGGATATACGGTGGCAATATATAACTGTATAGAAGACAGCTGAATTATTAGCTGTATGGCATCCATACTATGAAGTCTTTAGTTAGTTAGTTGGCGACTTCCTACTATGGATGCCGGAGTGTATCGCTCCTCTCTTCTCCAGATGTACTTCAACGCTACGTTGACGGAATCCTCCAAGCTGCTGAAGCCCCTGTTGGTCTTCTCCTTCATCATGGGTGGCATCATCTGTGGGCTCACCCGCATCATCCAGTTCAAGAACCACGCCATCGATGTCTACTGTGGCTTCCTCATCGGAGGAGGGATTGCCGTCTACCTGGTGAGATGCTCTAGTAGAGCTCTAGTAGAGCTACAGATGCCGTATCTTAATTTGATCATGCTGTTGTTGCAGGAATTTATCTGCACAGCAGGAAATGCAAACGTGTAGTCCATTTGAGGTTTAAAAAGGCTTCTAAAGTTTTTAATTTCCCCTTAAAAATGTCAGACTTGATTAGCCCTAACAAAAAATGTATCAACCCCTAAAAAAAAAGGCCTTTAATTATAATCCACTTAATAATTCAAATTTCCTGTTGCTGCAGGATTATTTTCCTTTTGTGAGAAGCTGGATCAAATTAAGGTACGGCATCTGTAGTATATCTCTAGTAAATCTAGTATATCTCTAGTGGATCACTGACCTTCTAGGTCTTGGTCTGGGTACATTAACTGGTGATACACTCTACTTCTGTAGATGTAGGCTGCACTGCCAGTAGCACCTTATCCCCTATAAAGTGGACTACATTTTCTGGGCAAAAGTAGTACACTATATAGGGGATATGGTGCCATTTGGGACACATCCCTGGGCTCTTCAGTCCTGGTCCTGGAGACCGACAGGAGGTGCAGGTTTTTGTTGTTCTAGTCCATGTTGTAACATACCTGGCTGATTCACCTAGTCAATTAAATAACAGGTCAAATTGATAAGTTGAATTAGGTGTGTTAGTACCGGGATGGAACAAAAGCCTGCATACCCGATGGGTCACCAGGACCAGGATTGGAGAGCACTAATCTGAAGATTAATCTCATTGAAACCATTCAAACGAAGGAGCTGATCGTGGACTTCAGGAGACAGCAGAGGGAGCACGCCCCCATCCACATCCACGGGGCCGCAGTGCAGAAGGTGAAAAGCTTCAAGTTCTTCGGTGTACACTTCACTGACAATCAGAAAGGGTCCACCCACACAGACAGTGTGGTGAATAAAGCACAACAGCGGCTCTTCAACCTCAGGAGGCTGAATAAATTTGTCTTGGCCCCTAAGACCCTTACAAACTTTAACAGATGCACCATTTAGAGCATCCTGTTGGGTTGTATCACTGCCTGGTACGGCAACTGCACTGCCCGCAACTGCACTGCCCGCAACCGCAGGGCTCTCCAGAGGGTGGTGTGGTCTGCCCAACACATCACTGGGGGCACTCTACCTGCCCTTCAGGACATCTACAGCACCCGATGTCACAGGAAGGCCAAAAAGATCATCAAGGACATCAACCACCCGAGCCACTGCCTGTTCACCCCGCTATCATCCAGAAGGCGAGGCAGAACAGGTGCATCAAAGCTGGGACAGAGAGACTGAAAAACAGCTTCTATCTCAAGGCCATTAGACTGTTAAATAGTAATCACTAGCCGGCCTCCACCGAGTACCCTGACATGAACATAGACACTGTCACTAGCCGACTACCACCCGGTTACTCTACCATGCACCTTAGAGACTGCTGCCCAATGTACATAGACATGGAACACTGGTCACTTTAATAATGGAACACTGGTCACTTTAATAATGTTTCCATACTGTTTTACTCATTTAATATGTACAGTGAGGGAAAAAAGTATTTGATCCCCTGCTGATTTTGTACGTTTGCCCACTGACAAATAAATTATTAGTCTATAATTTTAATGGTAGGTTTATTTGAACAGTGAGAGACAGAATAACAACAACAAAATCCAGAAAAATGCATGTCAAAAATGTTATAAATTGATTTGCATTTTAATGAGGGAAATAAGTATTTGACCCCCTCTCAATCAGAAAGATTTCTGGCTCCCAGGTGTCTTTTATACAGGTAACGAGCTGAGATTAGGAGCACACTCTTAAAGGGAGTGCTCCTAATCTTAGTTTGTTACCTGTATAAAAGACACCTGTCCACAGAAGCAATCAATCAATCAGATTCCAAACTCTCCACCATGGCCAAGACCAAAGAGCTCTCCAAGGATGTCAGGGACAAGATTGTAGACCTACACAAGGCTGGAATGGGCTACAAGACCATCGCCAAGCAGCTTGGTGAGAAGGTGACAACAGTTGGTGCGATTTTTCGCAAATGGAAGAAACACAAAAGAACTGTCAATCTCCCTCGGCCTGGGGCTCCATGCAAGATCTCACCTCGTGGAGTTGCAATGATCATGAGAACGGCGAGGAATCAGCCCAGAACTACACGGGAGGATCTTGTCAATGATCTCAAGGCAGCTGGGACCATAGTCACCAAGAAAACAATTGGTAACACACTACGCTGTGAAGGACTGAAATCCTGCAGCGCCCGCAAGGTCCCGCTGCTCAAGAAAGCACATATACAGGCCCGTCTGAAGTTTGCCAATGAATGTCTGAATGATTCAGAGGAGAACTGGGTGAAAGTGTTGTAGTCAGATGAGACCAAAATCGAGCTCTTTGGCATCAACTCAACTCACCGTGTTTGGAGGAGGAGGAATGCTGCCTATGACCCCAAGAACACCATCACCACCGTCAAACATGGAGGTGGAAACATTATGCTTTGGGGGTGTTTTTCTGCTAAGGGGACAGGACAACTTCACAGCATCAAAGGGACGATGGACAGGGCCATGTACCGTCAAATCTTGGGTGAGAACCTCCTTCCCTCAGCCAGGGCATTGAAAATGGGTCGTGGATGGGTATTCCAGCATGACAATGACCCAAAACACACGGCCAAGGCAACAAAGGAGTGGCTCAAGAAGAGGCACATTAAGGTCCTGGAGTGGCCTAGCCAGTCTCCAGACCTTAATCCCATAGAACATTTGTGGAGGGAGCTGAAGGTTCGAGTTGCCAAACATCAGCCTCGAAACCTTAATGACTTGGAGAAAATCTGCAAAGAGGAGTGGGACAAAATTCCTCTTGAGATGTGTGCAAACCTGGTGGCCAACTACAAGAAACGTCTGACCTCTGTGATTGCCAACAAGGGTTTTGCCACCAAGTACTAAGTCATGTTTTGCAGATGGGTCAAATACTTATTTCCCTCATTAAAATGCAAAACAATTCATAACATTTTTGACATGCTTTTTCTGGATTTTCTTTGTTGTTATTCTGTCTCTCACTGTTCAAATAAACCTACCATTAAAATCATATGTCAAATCATGTCTTTGTCAGTGGGCAAACATACAAAATCAGCAGGGGATCAAATACTTTTTTCCCTCACTGTATATACTGTATTCTTGTCAAGGCCATCCTATTCAACTATTGCTGTATATACAGTTGAAGTCGGAAGTTTACATACACCTTAGCCAAAAACATTTAAACTCAGTTTTTCACAATTCCTGACATTTAATCCTAGTAAAAATTCCCTGTCTTAGGTCAGTTAGGATCACCAATTTATTTTAAGAATGTGAAATGTCAGAATAATAGTAGAGAGAATGATTTATTTCAGCTTTTATTTATTTCATCACATTCCCAGTGGGTCAGAAGTTTACATACACTCAATTAGTATTTGGTAGCATTGCCTTTAAATTGTTTAACTTGGGTCAAATGTTTCGGGTAGCCTTCCACAACCTTCCCACAATAAGTTGGGTGAATTTTGGCCCATTCCTCCTGACAGAGCTGGTGTTACTGAGTCAGGTTTGTAGGCCTCCTTGCTCGCACACGCTTTTTCAGTTCTGCCCACACATTTTCTATAGGATTGAGGTCAGGGATTTGTGATGGCCACTCCAATACCTTGACTTTGTTGTCCTTAAGCCATTTTGCCACAACTTTGGAAGTATGCTTGGGGTCATTGTCCATTTGGAAGATCCATTTGCGACCAAGCTTTAACTTCCTGACTGATGTCTTGAGATGTTGCTTCAATATATCCACATAATTTTCCTTCCTCATGATGCCATCTATTTAGGTAAGTACACCAGTCCCTCCTGCAGCAAAGCACCCCCACAGCATGATGTTGTGTTCTTCGGCTTGCAAGCAACCCCCTTTTTCCTCCAAACATAACAATGGTCATTATGGCCAAACAGTTCTATTTTTGTTTAATCAGACCAGAGGACATTTCTCCAAAAAGTACAATCTTTGTCCCCATGTGCAGTTGCAAACCGTAGTCTGGCTTTTTTATGGCGGTTTTGGAGCAGTGGCTTCTTCCTTGCTGAGCGGCCTTTCAGGTTATGTCGATATAGGACTCGTTTTACTGTGGATATAGATACTTTTGTACCTGTTTCCTCCAGCATCTTCACAAGGTCCTTTGCTGTTGTTCTGGGATTGATTTGCACTTTTCGCACCAAAGTACATTCATCTCTAGGAGACTTAACGCATCTCATTCCTGAGTGGTATGACGGCTGCGTGGTCCCATGGTGTTTATACTTGCGTACTATTGTTTGTACAGATGAACGTGGTACCTTCAGGCGTTTGGAAATTGCTCCCAAGGATGAACCAGACTTGTGGAGGTCGACAATAATTTTTCTGAGGTCTTGACTGATTTCTTTTGATTTTCATATGATGTCAAGCAAAGAGGCACTGAGTTTGAAGTTAGGCCTTGAAATACATCCACAGGTACACCTCCAATTTACTCAAATGATGTCAATGAACCTATCAGAAGCTTCTAAAGCCATGACATCATTTTCTGGAATTTACCAAGCTGTTTAAAGGCACAGTCAACTTAGTGTATGTAAACTTGTGACCCACTGGAATTGTGATACAGTGAATTATAAGTGAAATAATCTGTCTGTAAACAATTGTTGTAAAAATTACTTGTGTCATGGACAAAGTAGATGTCCTAACCGACTTGCCAAAACTATAGTTTGTTAACAAGAAATTTGTAGAGTGGTTGAAAAACGTGTATGAAAACTTCCGACTTCAACTGTATACTATTCTATCCTTCGTATTCTACAGATATACTAAATGTTCTATCCACAGACTGTCCAAAATGTCTATACATCCCATCATATATATGTAGTTCATTCGGAAATTATTCAGACCCCTTGACTTTTTCCACATTCTGTTACATTACAGCCTTATTCTAAAATTGACTAAATTGTTTTTTCAATCTACACACAATACCCCATAATGACAAAGAAAAAACATTAATTTATTAAAAATTAAAAATACCCTTTACTCAGTGCTTTGTTGGAGCACCTTTGGCAGCGATTGCAGCCTCGAGTCTTCTTGGGTATGACGCTACAAGCTTGGCACACCTGTATTTGGGGAGTTTCTCCCATTCTTCTCTGTAGATCCTCTCAAGCTCTGTCAGGTTGGATGGGGAGCGTTGCTGCACAGCTATTTTCTGGTCTCTCCAGAGATGTTCGATCAGGTTCAAGTCCGGGCTCTGGCTGGGCTACTCAAGGTAATTCAGAGACTTGTCCTGAAGCCACTCCTTCATTGTCTTGGTTGTGTGCTTAGGGTCGTTGTCCTGTATTACTTTGCCCCAGTCTGAGGTCCTGAGTGCTCTGGAGCAGGTTTTCATCAAGGATCTCTGTGTACTTTGCTCTGTTCATCTTTCCTGACTAGTCTCCCAGTCCCTGTCGCTGAAATACATCCCCACAGCATGATGCTGCCACCACCATGCTTCACTGTAGGGATGGTGCCAGATTTCCTCCAGACGTGACACTTGGCATTCAGGCCAAAGAGTTCAATCTTGGTTTCATCAGACCAGAGAATCTTTTTTCTCATGGTCTGAAAGTCCTTTAGGTGCCTTTTGGCGAACTCCAAGTGGGCTGTCATGTGCCTTTTACTGAGGAGTGGCTTCCGTCTGGCCACTCTACCATAAAAGCTTGATTGGTGGAGTGCTGCAGAGATGGTTGTCCTTCTGGAAGGCTCTCCCACCTCCACAGAGGAACTCTGGAGCTCTGTCAGAGTGACCACTGGGTTCTTGGTCACTTCTGACCAATGCCCTTCTCCCCCGATTGCTCAGTTTGGCCGGGTGGCCAGCTCTAGGAAGAGTCTTGGTGGTTCCAAACTTCTTCTATTTAAGAATGATGGAGGCCACTGTGTTCTTGGGGACCTTCATTGCTGCAGAAATGTTTTGGTACCCTTCCCCAGATCTGTGCCTTGACACAATCCTGTCTCGGTGCTCTACGGACAATTCCTTCGACCTCATGGCTTGGTTTTTGCTCTGACATGCGCTGTCAACTGTGGGACCTTATATAGACAGGTGTGTGCCTTTGCAAATCATGTCCAATCAATTGAATTTACCACAGGTGGACTCCAATCAAGTTGTACAATCAACTCAAGGATGATCAATGGAAACAGGATCCACCTGAGCTCAGTTTCGAGTCTGATAGCAAAGGGTCTGAATACTTAAGGTATTTATGTTTTTTATTTTTAATAAATTTGCAAACAAATCTAAAAACCTGTTTTCACTTTGTCATTAGTTGGTATTGTGTGTACTGTAGATTGATAATACTTATTCTTTATTTAATCAATTTTAGAATAAGGCTGTAACATAACAATATGTGGAAAAAGTGAAGGGGTCTGAATACTTTCCGAATGCACTGTGTATATACAGTACCAGTCAAAAGTTTGGACACACCTACTGATTCCAGGGTTTTTCTTTATTTTTACTATTTTCTACATTGTAGAATAATAGTGAAGACACCAAAATGATGAAATAACACAAATGGAATCATGTAGTAACCAATAAAGTGTTAAACAAATCAAAATATATTTTGTATTTGAGATTCCTCAAATAGACACTCTTTGCCTTGATGACTATGTAAATGACAGCTTTGCACACTCTTAGCATTCTCTCAACCAGCTTCACCTGGGATTCTTTTCCAACAGTCTTGAAGGAGTTCCCACATATGCTGAGGAATTGTTGGCTGCTTTTCCTTTACTCTGCGGTCCGACTCATCCCAATTAATTGAGTTGAGTTTGGGGGATAGTGGAGGCCAGGTCATCTGATGCAGCACTCCATCACGCTCCTTCTTGGTAAAATAGCCCTTACACAGCCTGGAGGTGTGTTGGGTCATTGTCCTGTTGAAAAACAAATGATAGTCCCACTAAGCCCGAACCAGATGGGATGGTGTATCACTGCAGAATGCTGTTGTAGCCATGCTGGTTAAGTGTGCCTTGAATTCTAAATTTATCACAGACAGTGTCACCAGCAAAGCACCCCCACACCATAACACCTCCTCTTCCATGCTTTGCGGTGGGAAATACAAATGCGGAGATCACATCGCGTTTCACATAGCCACAGCGGTTGGAACCTAAAATCTCCAATTTGGACTCCATACCAAAGGACAAATTTCCCCCGGTCTAATGTCCATTGCTCAAGTTTCTTGGACCAAGCAAGTGTCTTCTTCTTATTGATGTCCTTTAGTAGTGGTTTCTTTGCAGCAATTCGACCATGAAGGCCTGTTTCACACAGTCAGCCCTGTACAGTTGATGTTGAGATGTGTCTGTTACTTGAATCTGTGAAGCATTTATTTTGGGCTGCAATTTCTGAGGCTGGTAACTCTAATGAACTTATCCTCTGCAGCAGAGGTAACTCTGGGTCTTCCATTCCCGTGGCGGTCCTCATGAGAGCCAGTTTCATCATAGCGCTTGATGGTTTTTGCGACTGCACTTGAAGAAACTTTCAAAGTTCTTGACATTTTCCGTATTGGCTGACCTTCATTTCTTAAAGTAATGATGGACTGTTGTTTCTCTTTGCTTATTTGAGCTGTTCTTACCATAATATGGACTTGGTCTTTTACCAAATAGGGCTATCTTCTGTATACCCCCCTTACCTTGTCACAACACAACTGATTGGCTCAAACGCATTAAGAAGGAAAGAAATTCCACAAATTAACTTTTAAGAAGGCACACCTGTTAATTTAAATGCATTCCAGGTGACTATCTCATGAAGCTGGTTGAGAGAATGCCAAGAGTGTCTAAAACTGTCATCAAGGCAAAGGGTGGCTATTTGAAGAATCTCAATTCTGACATATATTTTGATTTGTTTAACGCTTTTTTGGTTACTACATGATTCCATATGTGTTATTTCATAGTTTTGATGTCTTCACTATTATTCTACAATGTAAATTTTTTTTTAAAAATAAACAAAAACCCTTGAATGAGTAGGTGTGTCCAAACTTTTGACTGGTAGTTTAAATATACACTACCAGTCCCCTGTACCTCAGTTGGTAGAGCATGGCGCTTGCAACGCCAGGGTTGTGGGTTCGTTTCCCACGGGGGGCCAGTGTGAAAATGTATGCACTCACTAACTGTAAGTCGCTCTGGATAAGAGCGTCTGCTAAATGACTAAAATGTAAAAATATATATACTGTATATATGCTCCGGACTCCGACATTGCTCGTCCTAATATTATATATTTCTTAATTCCATTCTTGTACTTTTAGATGTGTGTGTATTGTTGTGAATTGTTAGATATTACTGCACTATTGGAGCTAGGAACACAAGCATTTCGCTACACCTGCAATAACATCTCCTGCAATAACATCTGCTAAATTAAATTTGATTTGATTATTCTCTGATATAAGGTTATATAATATTGTCTGTTTGTATATTGATGGATGTAATGAATAGTGGCATGTTTCTCTATCTTGTTTGTTGAGTCCTGTGGCACTTTTGTATAGGGTGTTAGAGAAATTCAATTACCTTTATGAATGAGAACAGGATGCACTAGTTTTGAGCAATATGATTCATGCTATTGTATGAGTGTATCAATGTTTGAACATTATTTAAATACTGTACAAGTAGGCTATACTGTAATGGATATGTGACTAAGTGAAATGTGCATTGAATTAGCTTAATATGCAGAGACATAACATGATTACGATTGTAAAGTACTGTGCATTTGCTGAAATCCATTTCATCAATGTGCTTTAAAATCCACTTTCATCATTGACTGTACTGGATCATAGCAAGTTATAAATAACACACGTACATCCCACACACACACATGACACACCGCCTACACATACCCACACAATATCCTCACATTTAAATTCTTCAATCAGAAGTGCTTGAGGCTATGATTGTGCTACTGGTAACTTACCCCAATAGTAATGCAGTTTAGTTTGGACTGCTACATTCTATCTGACTCAATGACCAAGACATGACCAGTGGCATTACAAATCCACTGTCACAATCATGCAGTCCTCATGTTTGGCTCTTGACTCTTGGTTAGGCTATTTATTTCTTATTGTGTCAGATACTGTATATTCACTGAATAGTGCTTGAAAAAACGTCATAGATTCCTGGAATTTTATACTAATGTCTGTCTAGAGACGCATAAGACCATTTTTGTTATAGGTAGATATAGACATAGTAGGAATAGAAAGGTACAGTTGAAGTCGGAAGTTTACATACACTTAGGTTGGAGTCATTAAAACAAATTTTTCAACCACTCCACACATTTCTTGTTAACAAACTATAGTTTTGGCAAGTCGGTTAGGACATCTACTTTGTGCATGACACAAGTAATTTTTACAACAATTGTTTACAGACAGATTATTTCACTTATAATTCACTTTATCACAATTCCAGTGGGTCTGAAGTTTACATACACTAAGTTGACGGTGCATTTAAACAGCTTGGAAAATTCCAGGAAATGATGTCATGGCTTTAGAAGCTTCTGATAGGCTAATTTACATCATTTGAGTCAATTGGAGATGTCCCTGTGGATGTATTTCAAGGCCTACCTTCATACTCAGTGCCTCTTTGCTTGACATCATGGGAAAATCAAAAGAAATCAGACAAGACCTCCAAAATTGTAGACCTCCACAAGTCTGGTTCATCCTTGGGAGCAATTTCCAAACGCCTGAAGGTACCACGTGCATCTGTACAAGCAATAGTACGCAAGTATAAACACCATGGGACCACGCAGCTGTCATACCGCTCAGGAAGGAGACGCGTTCTGTCTCCTAGAGATGAACGTACTTTGGTGCGAAAAGTGCAAATCAATCCCAGAACAACTGCAAAGGACCTTGTGAAGATGCTGGAGGAAACAGTTACAAAAGTATCTATATCCACAGTAAAACGAGTCCAGACTACGGTTTGCAACTGCACATGGGGACAAAGATCGTACTTTTTGGCGAAATGTCCTCTGGTCTGATTAAACAAAAATATAACTGTTTGGCCATAATGGCCATCATTATGTTTGGAGGAAAAAGGGGGTCGCTTGCAAGCCGAAGAACACAATCCCAACCGTGAAGCACGAGGGTGGCAGCATCATGCTGTGGGGGTGCTTTGCTGCAGGAGGGACTGGTGCACTTCACAAAAAAGATGGCATCATGAGGAAGGAAAATTATGTGGATATATTGAAGCAACATCTCAAGACATCAGTCAGGAAGTTAAAGCTTGGTCGCAAATGGGTCTTCCAAATGGAAAATGACCCCAAGCATACTTCCAAAGTTGTGGCAAAATGGCTTAAGGACAACAAAGTCAAGGTATTGGAGTGGCCATCACAAAGCCCTGACCTCAATCGTATAGAAAATGTGTGGGCAGAACTGAAAAAGCATGTGCGAGCAAGGAGGCCTACAAATCTGACTCAGTTACACCAGCTCTGTCAGGAGGAATGGGCCAAAATTCGCCCAACTTATTGTCGGAAGCTTGTGGAAGGCTACCCAAAACGTTTGACCCAAGTTAAACAATTTAAAGGCAATGCTACCAAATACTAATTGAGTGTATGTAAACTTCTGACCCACTGGGAATGTGATGAAATAAATAAAAGCTGAAATAAATAATTCTCTACTATTATTCTGACATTTCACATTCTTAAAATAAAGTGGTGATCCTAACTGACCAAAGACAGGGAATTTTTACTAGGATTAAATGTCAGGAATTGTGAAGAACTGAGTTTAAATGTATTTGGCTAAGGTGTATGTAAACTTCTGACTTCAACTGTAGGTAGAGGTAGTTCAGGATAGGTCATTAATCCTATAATGAATGCTGTCTTCCCAAAATATACTTATTTTAGACAGTTATAGGTAGATAGATACAGTAGGTAGAGGTAGATATAGGTTATAGATAAGTTGAACCTATAATGAATTCTGTCATGGTGTCTCCTCTTCTCAGGGTCTGTATGCAGTGGGTAACTTCCAGCCCAGTGAGGACACATCCAGACAGCAGTCCCAGCCTCCCCCGCTTCGCGTGCCCCCCAGGAGCAACACTGTGCCCAACGTCAGCCAGAGTGCCGGCCGCCACCTGCAGCCCAACAGCCTCAACAGCATGAACAGCCTAAATAGTGTGAGCACCGCTGACGGCCTCACCGCGGCCCACCCCGAGACCATCCTGACCCGGGTGCCCTCCTGCCGCGAGTCCAGCTCCCTGAATAATCTGAAGAGGGCCAGCGCCGACTTGGAGTGCATCACCCCGCCGAGTCCCATGGGTAAACAGGACAGTCTGGTGACCTTTAACAGTAGCACATTACCCAGGTCACACGGTGGCTCACTACACGAGGAGCACCGCGTCCCGCGCCGCCACGCCAGCATCCACTCCTCCATGGACTCCACGCGCTCCAAGCAGCTGCTGTCTCAGTGGAAGAGCAAGAACGAGAACCGCAAGCTCTCCCTGCAGGTGATGGACAGCGGGGTGGTGGTCGGACGCCACCATTCAACGTCCTCCTCCTCCTCGCCTCAGAGGACCATGGAGCTGAGGTGCAGCTCTGAGCCGTCCGCCATGGGCCTGGAGGCGGAGCTCCGTGCTCAGGGACACATCCCCGCTCAGTACATGAAGCTAGCAGCCAGCACTGTGCCGCTGTCCAACCACCTCCCCCACAACGGTGGCAGCAGCGGCCTGGCTGGGGGGGCCCGCGTCTCCATCCAGTCCCGGCCAGGCTCCTCCCAGCTGGTCCACATCCCAGAGGAGACGCAGGAGCACGTCAACAGCGGCACCTCCAGTAGGGAGGACGAAGATGACGACGACAGGGAGGATAACTATGGCGGCGGTGGGATTCCTGGCGGGGGAGGCTCGGTTCGCTCCAAGTGGCTGAAGGAGGGCGCCCCCTGCAGGACTAACAGTCTAACTAACCAGCCACGCATCATGCAGGTCATCACCATGTCCAAGCAGCAGGGTCTGCTCCAGCACGGCAGCCCCAAGAGCTCTGAGGACGGCAGCGTGGTCAGCTGCACAGGCTCCATCCGTTACAAGGCCCTGACGGACCAGGAGCCCGGCCAGGGCATTGTGAGGGTGGAGGCCCACCCAGAGAACAAGCCTGTGATTAAGCCTCCGGACGGCAGTGGCTCCTGGAGGTGGAAGCCCCAGGAGCAGCGTGGCAGCATCCGCCAGGCCTTCGAGCTCAACGACCTCAACCGCGACTCGGAGAGCTGCGACTCACTCAAGGACGGCTACGGCTCCTTCGATGGCAGGAGAAGCCAAACGGGCACCGACACCGGCAGCGAGCATGGCGGTGGCGGTGGGGCCGCGGGAGGCGGTCACCCCCACGTGCACCACCCTCACTACCACCACCACCACCACCCCCACCAAGGCATCACCACCATCCGTGTGACCCCTGTGGAGGGACTAGGAGGAGGCAGCGAGGCCACCTCTGAGACCCTCTCCATCGCCTCCAGCAGGGAGTCCACCCTGCGGAGAAAAGGCAACATCATCCTGCTCCCGGATAGAGGTCCGAGTCCGGACAACTCCAGGAACTATTTCAAAGGGACCTCCCCCACACCAACCCCCACCCTGGGACTGGCCCATAGAGAGTGAACAGCTGCCCCAGACAGCCGTTACCCTTACCATTCCCCGTTACCGCTCATGTGGTGGCCCTATCTGTCCCCCCATGAGTGGCCTTCCCCCCATGAGTGGCCTTCTACACTGGATCTAGTCTGAAGCCCACAATAGGACCATTGAACACATTCAGCTACGGCTGTATATTATCAAAACCATAATGGATTCAGTGGTGTTAGCTGGGCTGGCTTAACTTGTCCAGTGCCATTCTAAAGGTCATAGTTCATTAGCTAGCTCAGTGTGTCTAGTCCAGGAAGGCCACTCTACGGTATACAGTGTTTCCATTCTGCAAAAATTGGATTTTCTTTTTTTCAGCAGTTTATTGTTAGACCTGGTTTGATAGGACCGGACTAACTTTATTGGTGTGTGTTCCTTGAGAAAATATATTTTAAACAGTGAATAATGAAGTAAGCTTTATGCGCCAGATTATTGAGTGCGAACCCTTTACACCTCTTTGTTTGGCTGAATTCGCTGGTTTTACGCACCAGCCAAGCTTCTGGGAGAGAGCCATGGTTTTACGCACCAGCCAAGCTTCTGGGAGAGCGACATGGTTCTCTTTTGATTCGAAAATGAAACTCTATCACACACAATGGTCCTTTAAGAATGCAGGAGATGCTGGAATAATCGCTACAAAGTCATTTTGCGCACACTTTTCAACCCTTATTTCATTACAGAAACGTTCATCCATTTGACAAGCACAAGTACTAACTCTTTTAATACAATGGCTATAGTGGTTTGAACTTAGAATTTTATACTATTTGTTATCAACCTGCAAGAGCCTTTGATGGCAATGAACCGTGCAAGTTATTTATTAAGTTGATGGACATTATGTTTTGTAGGCCTTTTCCATAGATGTTTTGTGCTCTTTCTCAGCAGCATATAAATATCCTTGTGTAATGTGACCGTGATTGGGTGTTGCACTGCATAGCAACGCTGGAGGGGCTTTTCATAAAATGACTTTCATACATACAGTACCATGACAATTGGGAAAATAAATGTTTCTATTTTTTGCTATGTACATATTTATAGTTCTCCGATTGATCTGCCAACAATATTCAGATGTCCTCATTGGCTTATTACTAATTATTGATAGTCTATTTTAACAAAGATGTGTTTATTCAATGTTGTTGTTTTTAGAACTTTAGCGGGATATGAATTGGTTTGGCAGGTGATTTATAACAGAGCAATGTTTTAAGAAATCACCAAATATTATCGCTAGGGTTGCAAAATTCCGTTAACTTTCCCCAAATTCCCAGGTTGTCCAGAAATCCTGGTTGAATTCCCTCATGACTCTTCCAACTGGGATTTCTGTAAAACCTGGGAATTTTGGAAAAGTTACCAGAATTTTGCAACCCTAATTATCGCTGTGGACACACCAGTTTGTCCCTGTGCTTTATCCACACATTGTATCCCTCAAACATTATAACATGCTTTTCTTAGTTTACAGGGGCAGCAAATGAAGTATGTTAATAGACAACCAGGGGCAGTGGATACAGAATGTAAGACAATATATTTCTAGGGGCAGTGGATTAACTATGTAAGATAATTGCTTACCAGGAGCAGTGGATACAGTACCTTAATCAAATTAGTTTTGCTTAAAGACAGGACATTCAAGAGGGACTTTACTATTTGTATCGTTTATTTCCTTTAAAGAAGTATACTAACAAGTATTCGCTGTTAGCCACACTTTGATACAGTGACCTTTTTCCTATTAGTGCATATAGCCTCCTGTATGGTAGTTGAATAAAATGTTAGTTTTTTCTGCAAAATGTTTAACAGCTGTACAAGTTGTTAATGCTACTTACTGTGCACTCAAATCATGTTTAAGTAAATGTATCTATTGATGAGTGACATAAAAGGGAAACCACTCTTGGCAGAGGCTGCTCTTCCTGGTTCATTGATATGCACACAATAATTGATTTAATTGTCTTGTTTGATTTTCCTGATTGGACAATGTGGCACCAGAGCCTGTGCTGGGAACTTTGGTTATGCTGTTAGATTAAAATCAATCATACATTAGTGTTCCTTGGGCTATAATGCACCATGCACGATTCACGACTGAGGAGAGGTTGTATAACGGCAATATCATCCCTCTCCCTCCCACAAGAGAAATAGTAAACAAGTGAGTCATACTCGGTATCCAAACTACATAAGTGGAAAAATAACATTACTAATACTACCATTGGTTAGTGACACTGTAACTATAACATTACTCTATGTGAGGATCCCTATGTGTGTTATATGCTGCCATTGAACAAAATAATTGTTCAATGAAAACCTTTCAATGATTTTGTATCCAGATTGTTGTGCAAAGGTAGAGCCATTCAACAATACATTAACTGAAATGTGGCTTATACAGTACATATAGTATACTACGTTGCAGAGGAAGCTGGTGGGAGGAGCTATAGGAGGATGTGCTCATTGTAATGACTGGAATGGAATAAATGGAACGGTATCAAACACGTCAAACATATGGAAACCAACATGTTTGACTCCGTTCCATTTTCTTCATTCCAGCCATTACAATGAGCCCATCCTCCTATAGCTCCTCCCACCAGCCTCCTCTGATACACTGATACCTTTATAAAACTGTGCCAAGAGCTTACTCTTCATATACATCAGGGGTCTCAAAGCCATTTCACCCGGGTCCAGATTCTGTCTTTAACGGGGTTAAATCAAGGTTAGACCACATTAAATCGGCTTGCGGGCTGCCTGCTGGCCGTCAGTTTGAGACCCCTGATATACAGTGCTATGTGCATAGAACACTACCTTTACTTATGACGTTACATGAGACCTGAGATAGCTCCAATAGTGTTTTTACAGTGGTCATGATATGTCAGTTGCATTTGGATTGCCAAGATAATGACTGTATTGAGCTTGTGTGTGTTTGTACCAGAGGTTGGAAGCAAAATTATTTTCCAATCGTTTCGTTCTGAACAAAACCATTCTTTTTTTTTTGTTCTGTTCCACTGTTCCAACCAGCAAAATAAAGTTCTTATATCGTTAATTTCTGTTCCTTTTTAAACCTCTGAAATCAACGTTTTGTAAAAGCTATATTTAGCTCGACATTAAATGACTTCACCAATCAGTGGATAGAGCAGCTTGCTATGGAGCTATAGATGTTTACATTGGACAGACAACTGTATAGTGCGAGATGCGACTGAAATGTTGCAGGTGGGGAGAGAGTAAGAGAAGGTGGAGGAGGAGGCTTGGCTTGAAACGCTGGGCATCTTGTTATGACATGCATGATTTGAATTAGGCCCACAGAATTATACCAACGGAGGAGGGGCTTCTATGGAGGAACTTTGAATTTCTTTGAACTTCAGAGAGTTGGCTTAATGTTGGACCAGAGCTAGCTAGCAAGCTTGTGTGTGCAGAGCGGCACCAGAATAATAAATAACAAAAACGTCTTTCCTTTTTGTAGTTAATAAATCCAATGTGAAACATAATAACTATAGTATCCTTAACTAGCATTGAAAAAGTTAATCCATTCTTCTCCAATTAAAAATCTCTCCCTAATTTCTGAATCACGCTTGTAATGTCAGTAGGCTACAGTAACCTATGCTTCAGAGGGGAGGGGCAGGTAGCCTACACATGCACACACACTGGCAAAGCTTTTCAGCAGGCAGACAGTGGAATACGTTTCTGAGTGACAGAGTGAGAGCTTTGCTTAGGCGCTTTGTTGCATTTTTTTGTGGGACTGGAAAAAAATGTCCGGAGCATAAAATAACGTTATAAACCGGTTCCCATGCTTTTAAAATAACAGTTATGTTCCAGAACAGTATAAATCACTTTCATTCCCGGTTCTGATTCTGTTCCTTGAAAAATGTTGTTATTTTCCAGTTTTCTGTTCTGTTCCCTGAACCGGTTCCAACCCCTGGTTTGTACACAATAATATGAAAGTAAGACTGGATGTATTACATTGAGATATTGTATAACATTTCTATCAATAATCAAGGTTATTATTTTATTTTTTTTCATTGAAACTGAATTGATATTATATAAATATTATACATATTTTTTATGTCTCAAAGGGTATATTAGTGGGGACAACTGAAGGGGAAAAGTTGTATATTTGCCTGTATACTTGTACCTTCCATGATGGCTTTAAACTGTGGTCATATCTGCATGGTAATTTGATATGTACTGTATCTAAAGGCTTCTTTTCTGTATAAGACACCTTTTGAAAGTTATGGCTGGTACCTTGATTTATACCTACTCAATTTATCAATCAATCAACCAATTGATTAACTCTTCATTCTTTTGATCACTGTAAATACAATCTTTGTAACTTTGCCATTCAGAAAATGCTGTTACAGTGTAGAGTAGGAAGGACAACATATCTACAGAAAGAAATCAGGTTTGGCAGAAGAAGGTTTTTGACGTTTAGGCGGAGGACGTATTTGTATAGAGTTGAGAGTATAGAAATAGAATTGATGGAAATATAATTTAGTCATTCTATTTCCATGGTTGCTAGGTCTGTTGGCTGTATTATACATCTGTAACATTGGCCTGTGTGCATTCAGAATAGACGTGGTGATTGGTGGATAGCTTTGTGGCTAACGAAACAGAAGTCTCAGTAAGATGTCACTCTGTATTTCACCATTCTATGAGGTTGACAATGTCTAAATATTGAAATAAATGTTTGATATCAAACTAGAGAAAGGTTTGTTGATGGTGATGTCTTTTTCTGTCTCACTCTGTGTCACAGAGATGCATAGTGATATCATATACTTTTGATTCACAGGTATACAGTGAGGGAAAAAAGTATTTGATCCCCTGCTGATTTTGTATGTTTGCCCACTGACAAAGAAATGATCAGTCTATAATTTGAATGGTAGGCTTATTTGAACAGTGAGAGACAGAATAACAACAACAAAATCCAGAAAAACGCATGTCAAAAATTGTATAAATTGATTTGCATTTTAATGAGGGTAATAAGTATTTGACCCCCTCTCAATCAGAAAGATTTCTGGCTC